ATATATATATATATATATCTATACATTTTTATAGAGCACAGATTTAAAAAATACTATTAGGTCTACAAATAAGTTCTGACCTCTCCGAATTAATCAATTGTAACTTTACTATAAATTCAAATCTTTCCTGCTATTTTCGTAGTACCAATCTTTATTATAAAAAAAAACTATATATGGAAACCTTGCTAGACATTGGCTGTGTTCCAAAATATGCTGCCAGTGCTGAAAATGTACAGTATACGTAATATAAACAGTAGATTTGCAGCGCTGACAGTGAATTTTGGAACATAGCTTATAATTTATAATCTCACAAACCTTAAAGATGCATTTTCACGAGCTGCTCAAACTGAGGATCGATTGTGTATTTTGAAATGAGGTGAAAATTACAAAAGTGAACAAATTCATTAGAATATTCATAATTTAATTAATCAATACCTAGAAATCATTGCTCACTTTTGTAATTTTCATCTCATTTCAAAATACACAATCGAATCCCTGGCTGTTTCAGTGATCATGATGATTTTTGTCTCAAAACTATTAGAGTGACAATTTTATACATGAAAAAGAGCAAGAAGCATTAAATTTGATATTTGAGCAATAAATTCGACATGTTCGTATTTTTCATGTATCATTTGCAATATTAATACGCTGAATTAAACAGTTATTAGATTATTCTGATTTGCACATATTGAATTCTTTATCAGCAATATAAACAAAAAAGAATAAATTAGATTATGTATATCACAATCAACGATGATCAACACGGTCGATAACATTTGAGTATTTGACGCTTGTAGTTGAAACTATTCAATCTACAAAATTTTCACTGGATAACGACAAATCTGTTAATTAAAATGATAATTATACTCACTTATAAAAGAAAATCATTATTGCGATATAGAATCCTCGTTACTTGAGACTTTATAAGCCTTCGTATAGAAAACAGAATTTCTGAGAGATTCACGTTTTTCCTGACTTCAATCTTCGCAAGTCTATTATAGAAACTTCTCGATATAAATTTATAACAATTATCGAATAGTTTCTAGTAGGCAAGAATTATTATAACAAAATGTTTTAGAAAATTTAGTATTTGATTTTTTTTAGAATATAAAAATTATTTTGCAAGAAAAATATTCTTTAATAACGTAAAGTATGATCTCCGCACTGGATTAAATTAAGGAATTGGTAAGACCGGCCCTAAGTGTCTTTATATTAAAAAGAAAACGGTTACAGCCAATATAAACGCTCTCTTAAAGTCCATCTACAATGGAAAGTTTTAGGCCGCAACAGTAGGCAGTAATGTATTTCCGATTTAGGAAGTCGCAACAGTAGTCATAAGCGAAATGATCATTTCCATTTCGGTGCTGCCTATGGCTTACAGTAAACATCTTGCGTTACTTTGATAGCGATTTTCAGCCTTATCAGTGAATGAATCAGTGAATTTGATATGCAGTTTCTCGACATCCGATATTAAAATGTCTGGCGAAGATGATATAATAAATAGCGTAAAGGTTATGGTAATGAACATGATGCTTTATTACAAGAGCTTATCACTCTTATCAAAGTGAATCCCGCTCTATATGCGAAAAACTGGAAGGAATATGCTGATAAAGATTTAGTTTGGAAGAGCATTGGATCTTGTTTGTCAAAATGAATGTAAGGTAAGATGCATATAAATTAGTTGATTTGCATGTGGCGATAAGTTTAAATTATTTTATTCATATTTTAATTTCTTCTATCACCAGGAAAAGATGCTGCCAAAATGATACATTTGCCAGCGATTTAGTAGGGAAAGACGAAAGATAATAATAAGTCTTAAAGGAAAATTTGGACAAAGCACAAAGCCCCTATGTACCGAAATGGCAATTTTACAATCTGTGTTTATTTTTAGTAGACCATATCACGCCTCGCAAGTACATATATAATCATTTATAAATGAATTATATTTTTTAAAAAGAGACATAATGTACACTGATCTTTGTTTAACATTAACAAAAAATATGTAATGATTTATTGTGTTATACTGTATCGTCTATGTCTCCTGTTAAAAGTATCCAAAATTAGCTTGGTGTGTTGTAACATTAGATATTAATATATATTTTGGTATTTCAGAACTGTCAGTAATTATATATCAAAGAAAATTGTGAATAAGATCTCAATAACAGGGAAAACTCTTCCTTTTTTATTGATTTTATCTTCATTTTCATCACCTTCATTATCATCAAAATCAATACCATCTCTACAAATATCACATCCACATACACCGTCTCTACAAGTACTGTTTCTGTAAGTACCATCTCCACAAGTACCGTTTCCGCAAGTACCGTCTCCACATGCATTGTCTCCACAAGCATTACAGTACTTTTGTCTCCGTCAAGTATATGGTCTACAAGTGATTTGGAGTCAGTGCTTAGCAGTAAGTAAATTGATATGTGTAAATATAATAGAATGGAATAAATATGAAGTGCGTAATTTTCATTTATCTCTTTTTATCTTCAGATGATGCATCTGTATCATTGATTGAGAATAACAAGGAATAACAAGAAAAAGCTGTTGCATCTATATTATCTAGTAACCCTCGTGGAGGAATGTTCTTCTGCAGCAGTTAATGCACCAAAGGAAATGCTGAAATCGATACAGAAGTTGTCAATAAAAAGAACTATTCCTGAATCAGATAACTGTGCTAAATGCGGGAAAAAAGAAGATTATGTATTTGTACAAGCTATGATCAGACAATCAACAGCCTTGACCTCTGTCGCTCAAAAAATAGAGGAGTCTTTGACAAATTCTAGTCAATGAAGTTGTACTCAATCTTCACAATCAACCGTGAATGAATTAGTCTCAATTGCCATTGCATATGCTCTTAAATCTGTACTTGAAGAAAAGCTTAAATCTGTACTTGAATGTATGATAGAAATACTCCAACTTATAAATTCAAAGTATGTGCAGCTATAGCTGATTTGAAAGTTTAAGTTAAAGATTCTTTTCTCTTTTTCGATCGAGCAATATAAATAGTACGAGTGGTAGGTTAAAAGAGATAGGAGGAAGCAGATGACGGGGATCTTGCCGCCACAACTCGGTTTTTCCTAGACTGTCTCTACCAATCTCTCATCACTTTTACTGTTTACATTACTCGGCTATAAGCTTGTAACTTTAATATTCGACATATGAGAATATATTATTTTTATTACATGAAACATCTTATTAATAAACATTTTTAGTTTTACAAAGTTATTAATTTTTTAATAACTCTACGATAGTATAAATATAATTTGTAATAATTAATAAACTATGATAATAATCCTGTTGTAATAATTATATATTATATTTATAAAAACTTAGAAAAATTGAATAAAATTGTTTTGACTAAAAATTATATAAGACTGTTAGAAATATAAGAATAAAAGTAACAATAAATTTTTAATAAATTTCTATTATCATTTATTGCTTATATAATATTTTTACATATAATATTCAATATATATGAGTATATCCTGTTTTTACTAATATAAAATATATTTATATATAAACATCTTTTTTATTTAATTTGTAATATATAAATATATTTTTTGCTGTAATAAATATTTTATTTATATAATAAAGTTAGAAATTATATTAATGAGGAGAATTGATAATAGCCCCTCTGAAAGTGTAATCATATTGCCATGAAGCTTGAGCTTAACCAATTGGAGAAACAAAATATTTCTTATTTCCTTCGCTACAGAATTTGCATGATTAGCATCCATTCGATCAATTTCAGAAAAATGTGACGAAAAATATCTCCTCCATTGTCCTCTAATGCTGCCATCTTGTTCCTCGATATTAATTAAATCTGTTGTAATACTGTACTGACTTGTTCATATTTTCCTGTTTCTTGCGCAATCAAAAATTGTGTAGGCAAACGAGGTCTTTCAATAAATTTTCGCAGTTGATTATTGACATGCAAAGAGGTTTGTGTAAGATATGTCATCGTGCAGTTAAAATATCAAAAGCATTGTGCGCCGTGCATGTGACAAGCGATTAATTAAAGATTCTCATCAATCTTTTTACACGGATAGGGTCGCATCATATTGACAATGGGAAAGCCTCATCGCCAATAAAAAAAAAAGGTAAAAGAATATTAGTCTCTGGAAGTGGTGTCGGATCTGGTAAGAGTAAATTGTCTGCAGCCAGATCACTTGCAAAATCTGTGTTAGCCCATACTCTACTCACTTCACTTATCAAACCTGAAAATAGATTGTCACAGAGTGACAATTACAGAGAATATATATTATAAACTATACAGGGTATCTGGAAATAATCGCCAATATAAAATATTTCTTGAGCAGGTAGAGCGGACTAAACTGAGTCGAAAAGTCCTCTACCATTTTGTAAATTTCCCCAATAGTTAATGAGATATTAATCCTTAAAGATAACCGAATACGCGCCCTCGCTTGCCCTACTATTGCGAAGTATATATGCCTACCGATCGCTTGGCGCGCGGGTCTTGGGAGTTGGGGATTGGCTGACAAACGCCCCGCGCGCGCTTGCCAGGCTATCCCTGCTTCCTATGGCCCGCGCGCCAAGCGATTGGTGAGCGTACACTACACTAGTATTCGGCTATTTTTAAGGATTAATATCTCGTTAACTATTGAAAAACTTACAAAATGATAGAGGACCTTTCGACTCAGTTTTTACTTACATCAAAGTGACAGCAAGACGCAACTCCGTAGGAAGAGAAGCTCGAATACTGTAATATTTTCTTAATATGAGAATAAAGCAAATTTACTAGGAAATTAAATTGCTCGGGTCACATTCTATATGGTAATTCAAAGAATTTTTCATAGTCACTCTGAAGTAATTCTTGAACGAGATTATGGTAATGATATGGAGCATTTCGTAGCCCTGTTTACAGGTCGAACCCACCAACGTTGCTTTCGTCATCCTTCTTATCTGTCATTGCGACAGTAATAAAATATCCCAAGATAAGCAAAATAAAAAGAAAAGTCCAATTTTTCTTATATTCATAATGTTACAAGTGCTGAGAAAACTCACATTTTGCATGTAATCTCAAACGGCGTATTTTCTGACTTCAAACAGTCAGTCTATTTTCTCATTGATTATACTTATCACCGTTTCATTGTAGATAGACATTGTTGTAGAAATTGCACTATTGCCTGCTTACAGCCAATTTCATTGTAGGCAAACCTTAAAGTCTATTCTACAATAGTTGTAAGCGTAGTTGTAAGTGATTACAGTTGTAAGAATTGACCAATCACAATCAAATATTCTCCTTACATTCGATTTGATTGTCAATTCTTACACAACCGCTTACAACACGCTTACGTCTATTGTAGAATAATCATATGACCATATTCATAGTCAGACCTTGTACTTAAGGCGTCATGACACATGATTTCGGACACCAACATCAAAGGATTCAACACGGAGTGCTGCTGCTGGTTCTACTTATACTGTGCTTTAGGCCTGTTACATAATAGAATCGCAAATCTAAGCTGTAAGAATTTAACCAATCATAGTCAATTATTTTTGTCATATTCAACAGTGATTGGCCAATTTCTTATGGCTTACATCTTGAGATTCTATTGTAGAACAGACATTAATACTCATATTCACAGTCAGGCCTTAAGGCTTCCTTAAATTTATCTTTAGATGTTCAGCAGTCAATGAAATAATTCGTAGATAAAGATAAATCTAAAGATAAATTTAAGGAAGCCTTAAATATAAGGCCTGACTGTGAATATGAGTATTAATGTCTGTTCTACAATAGAATCTCAAGACGTAAGCCATAAGAAATTGGCCAATCACCGTTGAATATGACAAAAATAATCGACTATGATTGGTTAAATTCTTACAGCTTAAAAATTGCGATTCTATTATGTAACAGGCCTAAAGCACAGTATAAGTAGAACCAGTAGCAGCACTCTGTGTCGAATCCTTTGATGTTGATGTCCGAAATCATATGTCATGATTACCATTCTTGATAATAATAACGCAAATAACGAAACGCAATAACGAAATATTTTAATATCATATAAATAACTGCAATTCATATTTTATTAAATAAATATTGATCATGTTGTAAAATTATCAATGCTGAAAATCCATAGTGCATGTAACGTAAACCAGATTTTTAGCGCTGGAAGTGAATTTTAGAACATAGCCATTATAAATTTGCACATACAAATGAAATAAAATAAGAAATAGTTATACAAAAATAAAAAATAAATTATTCAATAAAAAAAATTAATAATAATATTAAATGCAATATTATAGTTGTAATAAACGACTGACATTTATTTTAAATAATTACAACATGTATAATGTGTCAATTTAAATACAATTTCGATTGATGACAATATATATCTATAATGCACTAATATATTAGGTGTACAACTTTTCTTCCGCCGTTTTTTTTCCGAAATTCGAGGCTTTATTATAAAAAACTGGTTATACATTTATGATTCAAAGTATTGTCCATCGCTGGCCACTACTTTCTCCCATCTTTTGAATAGCGTACGAATCCCGCGTCGAAAAAATTGGTCATCTTTTGAGGCTCTCCACGAATCAATCCAATTTTTTACTTCTTCATAAGACCGGAAGTGCTGGTTAGCCAGGCCGTATGCCATTGATCGAAACAAGTGATAGTCAGAGGGAGCAACGTCTGGAGAATACGGCGGGTGGGGTAGGACTTCTCATTTCAACGTTTCCAAGTATATCTTGACCACTTTCGCAACATGGGGTCGAGCATTGTCATGCTGCAAAATCACTTTATCGTGTCTCTCGTTGTATTATGGCCGTTTATCTTTCAATGCTCGGCTCAAACGCATCAATTGCGTTCGATACCGATCGCCTG